GATGTAGTCAAGGTGATTGCCGGCTTTGTGAGTAGGAGGAGAGGGAGTGAGTGACAGAGCGAAGGAAGAAAGTAGGTGTACGAGGTCAGATGACTTCTCTGTCTGGATGTTGAAGTCACCCAGGAGGATGACCGGAGGACCATTTTCGGGGAAATTAGACAGGAGAATGTCCAATTCTTCCAAAAAATGACCTAAGGAGCCTGGCGGACGGTAGAGGACAATGATGGTTAATTGTACCGGGTGAGTGATTGTTACAGCATGGAATTCAAAGGACAATGGGGTGGCTGGTGGTAGAGGGTAGAGAGAAAAGCTCCATTTGGGTGAAATGAGTAGACCTGTGCCACCACCCCTACCAGTGGGCCTGGGAGTGTGGCTGAAGGAGAAGGCGGAGGAGAGAGCGGCTGGGGTGGATGTGTTCTCGGGTGTGATCCAGGTCTCGGTCAGAGCGAGGAAGTCGAGTGACTGCTGGATAGCAAAGCCGGAGATGAAGTCAGCCTTGCGAGTCGCTGACTGGCAGTTCCAGAGACCTCCTGTGACGAGGTGCTGGACGTGTGTGGCGCGGGTGGGATAGGTGAGAGAGGAGAGGTTACGATAGAGAGCAGATCTAGCCCGAGGCCTGTAGTATCTGCGGGAAGAGATTCGAACAGGCACGGGTAAAGGGGTCAAACCAATCATTAAAACTAGAAGAAGGCGCCGCATTCAGCCGCCCCGAAGACTCCACGAAAGACTCCCTGGTCTTTGTCCTGCTCGTCTTGACTCCACGAAAGACTCCCTGGTCTTTGTCCTGCTTGTCTTGACTCCACGAAAGACTCCCTGGTCTTTGTTCTGCTCGTCTTCGTGCTGCGAGGATAAGCTAACGCTTCCCACGATTTCTAGTTAAATACTCCCTCGTTAGTGGAAGTCGGCTGCGGCTGCGCTGGCCGCTCCCCCGTCGTTTATGAGACAAAAGGTCGATTGGCCTCGACAGAAACTCCTCAAAATGCAAAGCACCAATAGCTTGATACCCTAATCAGTGAACAAACACCATGTGGTGTTTTGACAAAATGAGAGTTTAAGGATTCAAGTCTTATTTGCTTCAGAAAACAAGGCAAAACAGACTTAGATCAGGTCAAAACCTAGCAGAGTTAGGAGGGCACACTGGCAGTTAACTTAATAGTAGAATCTAGAACAAACTGGCACTAAAAGACCGAAAGAGCTTGAGCAAACTAGCAACCAAGATAACGTCAAACAAAGAGAACTGGCAGTGAGACGACAAAAACTAAAGCAAATCAGCAATCAAATTAACTTAAGACACTAGAATCAACAGTAAATTTAGCAGACTAGCTTGATTTAAAGGAAGAGATACTTAGTCCGATTTCAGGTCGCCTGATGTCTGGTGGCCTTGTAGAAGAGATGCAAACTGCAACACGGATGTTTTACACAGACGACGGGTCTCTGTTGCCGTGGTTACGCTTGTCTTTTATCTTTAAATGAAACTTTTGTGATCAGATACATTTTGGTGTCAAAGTCGCAGACAAATGATCCTCAACCTTTCACAATAAAAGTCCTGCTCTCACTGATCCGGATGGACGGTCAAAAATTCTATTTGCACTTGTGATCTTTTCTCCTGTGAGAAGGAAACAAAGCGGTTTTAGATGAATCAAAAGTCGAGAAGCTGCTTAAGTTTTATTCCTTATTGGATTATTTCATATCTTCTAGAACGTGGGGGGTCCAGGGGTCCTTCTAGTACGTGGGGGGGTCCAGGAGTCCTTCTGGTACGTGGGGGGTCCAGGGGTCCTTCTAGTACGTGGGGGGGTCCAGGGGGCCCGTCGGGACCAGCTGCTGGAAGCTGAGTGGAAGGAGCTTAAAGAACCGGCCTTTAAATGTGACCTTCACGCTGTAGTACTGCTACTGCTACCGGGTCAGAGTTCTTCTCCAGGGGAACATGTTCCAGATGTTCCAAACTGTGTGGACCACTAGACATCATCTGTCTTTGGTTCTGGATGTCCAGAGACGTCTTGATGATTTTTCCAGTGCGCTTGAACGCATCGTGGACTCCACACGTCAGCAGATGAAGACAGAGAGACGTGAGGAGCGCGAGCAGAATAAAACAGCGATGGTCTTGTGGACGAAGACGTCTCTTCATTGCTCCACTGCACACGTGAACCCCTGAGGTCTGGACCGGGGACACGTGACCCCCTGAGTTCTGGACCGGGGACACGTGACCCCCTGAGGTCTGGACCGGGGACACGTGACCCCCTGAGTTCTGGACCGGGGACACGTGACCCCCTGAGGTCTGGACCGGGGACACGTGACCCCTGAGGTCTGGACCGGGGACACGTGACCCCCTGAGGTCTGGACCGGGGACACGTGACCCCTGAGGTCTGGACCGGGGACACGTGACCCTCTGAGGTCTGGACCGGGGACACGGACACTGAACTCTGAGCAACATGAAGTCAGTCAGCTGCTTCAGGACAAAAGAGGGTGAATGATGTGAATCAGAAGGTCTGTGAAGAACACGAAGGTTTATGAGTACAAACGTTTTGTAATTAGTTTAATCGAGTTTAAACAGAAACCTACTCGTTATTTATCTGTTATTATGTGATCTTATTGGTCCGGCTGCTTGATATCAAAGTTTGACACCTGGTTCACAGCAGAATGAGGACGTACTTTATTGTGATCATTTCTTTCAGGTACAATAACGACGTTATTAAGAGATTTAAAGTTAAAATCGTTCCTCTTTCTGTTTGATCTGATTTTTTGGGACCGTTGCTGCTGTCTGTGTTTTATTTTGGCGGTGCATTGAGAGGCTCCATCACATTTAACACTTTCAATACTCAAGTTTCTTAGTAATAAACTCCAGCCTGTTATAAAATACGTGCTTGTTGTTTGTGTGTTGTTGTTGCCACGGTGACACGGCCCAAAACACCACAAGGCGACTTCAGTAGGATATTTACTGCAGGATGAAACCTTCAAGTTGCACCTGAAGCACCGAGCTCAGTAGTTTGTGTTGTTTGGAGACGACTCTGCGTTAACGTTCATACGGTTAATAAACCAAGTTATTTATTACTTATTTGTTTGTTTATTACAAACTTTTCACTTCCTTTGTCAACCAGCTGTAACACAGATGTTTTCTCTGCTAGTGACAAAACAAGTAAATACATATAAATAATATGTAAATAGTACAGCATGTTTAAGAAGGATCATAGTATTTCATGTCAAAATAACCAATACAGCATGTTTATATTATGACGTGTTTAAAAATGTACAGTTGTTTCCAATAAAAGTCATTTATTAACATTAGAAACATACAATTATATTGCTGTTAAGCCAAAGTAATACGTGGACTAAATGTTGTACTATTATAGTGAATAAAAACACAAGTACTGATATTATCTGTCAGGATATTAAACATTTTCTTCAGAAGTTTAATCATTAAAAAAAGGGTTTTGTTTAAAACAAACCTGATTATGTGAAATTATTTCTTAGTTCACTGAACAGATTCTGAAAGATTAAGTTAAAATTGTCTTAAAAAAGAATTAGACATTTAAAGTGTTTCCCCTTGTTGTTATTAGCGTGAGTGGAAATGAAACACACACATAAGGACACATTTATCTCACATGGGGGCAGACGAGCATTTTATAAAACGTCTTCTTGAAGATATAAAGATGAAGATTAAAGCCTAATTAGGAGCCGATATCTAAACGATGATCTATTGATTGAAGGAGCACAGCAGCATTAAGCTGAGCTCCTTCACACGTCCACCTGAGTCCCAGAGAGCTGTGGACCAGCTCAGGTACCCCTCACCTGCTCCACCTGCAGCTACACCCACATGAACCACCATCAGCTGTGTGACAGAGAGGAAGGTTCTCCACCAGGAGGAGACTCTCCCTCCTACAGAGAACACAGAGACACTGAGGAACCAGAGGACCAGAACCCAAACCCAGGATAAAGAGGTTCAGTGAATGTGGTGCTGAAGGTGTGGAGGTGGATCAGTGTGTCAGAGGAGACTCTGTAGAAGGACAGAGAGCCAGCAGGACAGTCCACATACACTGCTACTCTACCAGAGGAGGAGGAGGAGGAGGTGATGCGTGTCCCTGTATTATTGTGACGGACATAGTAACCTTTATCAGAGCAGCTCAGTCTCCAGGACTGATCATTCTCTCCAAACCAACTGTCACTGATTCCTTTCCTCTTGATTCGTCTGTAACTCACTGATACATTAACGTTTCCTCTCCACTCGACCTCCCAGTAACAGCGACCAGTCAGACCAGTTCTACACAGCAGCTGATAACAGTAGTCAAATCTGTCTGGATGATCAGGATATGACTGATCCTCCATCACACGTGTCACCTTCCTGTTGTTGTCAGACAGTTTGAGGTGTTTGTATACTGTGTTTGTGTTGATTGTGAGTTCACAGGAATCTGATGAGAGAACAAGACACAATACAGCAGCAGTTATTAATCATGTGTTCATCTACTGACACGTTGATGATGACATCACAGAGGTGAATGAGTGATGTCACAGTGTGAAGATGGTTGAATCTTCATGAATCAAAGCACACTTACACTTCCTCAGACCTGGTGTCAACCATCGGACTCCATCAGGCTCCACCCTGAAAGGAGGAGGGGGGTCAGAGCAGCATGGAGACATGGACATTACATCACTCTCACACACAGCTTTGTCCTTCATGTCCACATGGAGCACCTCTTCTTCTTCTACCACTACTTACAGACGACCACAGACTGTCAGTCAGGCGTCACACAGCGACGAGGTGCTGGAATATATTCATGGAATAAAGTAGATAAATGTGGAATAAATAATAAACGGACCTGTCACTGTACTTTCACCAGATGGGAATTAAAATGTGAGAAATGACGTCGTGCTGCAGATGAAGCTTCATGGGACGTGTGCAAAGGAACATTAACATTAAACCGTTTAATAAGCAAATATTCACTAAATATAGAAATAAAGACCATTCAGTATTTACAATGTTTCACAATGAACAAACAACACAAACAAAGAGAAGAAACGCACTCGTTAGTTTATTGGATTCACTGTTTGGTTTTTCACTCATTCACTTCCGTCCCGTTCTGCACTTTTACTGTGATATTACAGAACGTCCTCATGTAAATACACTCAAGCATCTGCAAACGGGTCGGCGTGTGGATTCAAGCCAAAGGTGTGATCATTGAATGTACTGTAGTATTCAGTGAACAGGGTCAGTCAGGTCACAGGCTGCTGATCATAATAGTACTATTATAATATAGTACTTTGTGTTCTCAGCGTGTCGAGGTGCAGAGTTACTAACGATTGTCACGTCATCAGCTGTTGTGTCAACACGCCTCATATGGTTTACAGGAGTAATCACATGATGTAGAGACAATGTCTTCATTAGAGTCAAAGGGACACAAGGACTGTTCATTGATGTTCACCCTCCAACACTGATGGACATTCAAGTAAAGGTAAGAAATACAACTTTAATATCACTTGTGATCATTTCAGCATTGATACAGTTTGATATCAGCTTTGTCTTCATTTGGATTTGATCTCGATTCCAATTTAAAGAGCCGCTCTGATTTTAATGTGACCTTCTGAAAAGGTTGAATAGATTTGATCTCCAGTGGTGGAACTAGATTGTATTTAAATGTCAGATAAGTGGGTTATTATTGCTTTAGGCTTTGAGTTAAGGTCCATCGTCACTACTAGTTAAAGTTTGAATGGTATTCAACGTTTAAACATAAGATTGATTATTGATTATCGTTGTGACTTTAGACTTTTACTTTCTTAACTTGAACTTCATTTTGCTTTTATGGATTTTCATTAGACGTTTATTTTAGTTTCCTCTTCTCTCTCCTGCGGCAGCGTTTACACCCTAAAAGTTTTATCTCAGCTTTGTGATTCTAACATTGAGTTGGATTGATTTTTAATTTGCTGAAAGCCGTAACTAGTTTGAGATGATCTGCGGTTTAGTTTGATTTGTACTGACGGCGTTCTGATCCGCGTTGTAGTTGTTATGTGACTCAGTGGTTTGATGGACTGGTTCCCTTTCAGGTCCACTGCTTTACTTTCCATTGCTGAGTTCACTTTGTTGTTTGGTGTTTTGCAGGTTTCATTAGTTTGACTTTACATCATTAGTCGTCTCCTCACAGTCAGTGACAGAGTAGCTCCTAAAGGACAGGAGGACATCTCAGGGGGGTTTAGATGCACCAGGTTGCATCATGGTCGTGTTTACGACTCAGGACCTGCTGAGTAGCACCAGAGAGAAGATGGAGGAGCAGACGGAGGCCAAAGGAAGAGAAGCAGTGGACGGACGTGAGAGCACGATGAGGAAGCAGCTGAAGACACTTCAAGAACATCAAGATGTCTGCAGCAGTAAACAAAGGACAGAGACAGGAGACAGACAAGGCCCGATACCCCGTCCCCCAAAGGCCCCAGATCCAGCAGGTAGGAACCGTTGAGTGGGACATCAGCACCCAGCAGCAGAGGACGAGGGACAACCGAGGGAGGACAGGTGGACCTTATATATGTGGACAGGAGGGACATTGGTGCAGAGAGAGTCCCAGGAGACACGCGACTAAACGCTCCTCCACGGCTGGAGGCTCCACCCACCTCCACCCGCCTCCACCTCACCTCCACCCACATCCACCTCCACCCACCTCCACCCACCTCCACCTCATCTCACCTCCACCCACCTCACATCCCTCCACCTCACCTCCACCCACCTCCACCCCCCTCACGCAACCCCCACAGCAGCCGAGGCCCAAACAGCAACTGGTGCCACGTGGCCCCCCACTGGCTCCCAGCAGCTCAGATAAGCAGCCCCAGTCTCCCCAGTTTACGACTCACGTTGCAGAAGAAGAAGAGAGAATAAAGATTATAAACCGCTGAGATTTAAAAACACAGATTGATTCACTAAAAGAGGGAAAGTGTCATTAAAAGGTTGTGAAGGATTTAAATGAGGAATGAAGGGTGATGAGAAATGAGGACAGTCGTTGGACATAGTGTCAGTTTTTGTATTAATGTCGTCGTGTTTTAGTCTCTAAGTTCTAACCTGAGTGTAAAGTGCACGATACACTTGATACACAATCTGGGATGATGGA